TACCTTGGTACAGACCTGAGCTGGAGGAACAGCCTGCAGGAGCCACAGCATTGCACCCGCATCCATTGATCGCAGTTAAAATGCTTTGCAGGATCAAAAAAAATATCTTTTTTTTGGGGGGTTTTTTTTTTGCAAAATTTGGAATTGTTCTGTAAGGTGGTGGATTCCACCTCCACACAAAGCTGCCTACAGCTTTAAATTGATTGATTTTAAAGATAAAAAAAATAAAGTTAAAGTTCCTACCGAGTAATAGCTGATTAGGCAGTCACCAGTCTTCCAGTCTCCTAGAGCCTCTCATTAATGTTCCGTCACTTTCTGTCCTGCTGTCCCCTCTGGAAAGTCTGAACAAAAAGAGCTGTTCTTTTTTCACACCATCCTGTGTCTCCTCCTTGCTGTCTAGCTGCTCAGTGCTAATGAAGTCATTCCTATGTGCCATAATGTTAGAGCTGCTAGGTAATGGTATGTGCTGTCCTGTATATCTGAGTCAGCAATATTAAACCCTCAGAGGTTTTTGTTTTGTTTTTTTTAATTCTAGCATAATAAAATAAAAATTACCCAGTAAATCATTACAATTCATACCCCAACACTTGCAGTTTACAACTTTCATTGTTGCTGGCTCCTGCTCCTTCAGTGCTGCTACTCTGAACGTCTGGTATTCATAGGAAACAGTTGCCAGTGGACAGTGCAGTCTTGAGGTAGTCTGTTAGTTTGGAGGAGGGAGGATCAGGAGAGTACCTTGACATCATAGGCTATGGGGCTATGTATTTGATGCACACAGTGTAGGGAGACACAACTCTAGTCCCTGCATGCAAGCAAGGCAGCCATCAGAAATTTTGGGACACCTTACACAACTTTAGGCCTGGGTCCCCCTGGGCATGACCAACGTCATTCACCAAGGCCCAGCCACTGGCTGTCACAACAAATATTCCCCCTGGCCATTCCACCGAGTCCTTCAGTGCACCCACTTTTATTGTAACACTCTTACAACTTAATATATCCTCTATTCTATGTCCTTATCCTCCTTTAGACTCATCTCCTCCTCCTCCAATCCTATATTCTCCATCCAATGCTTTCCTCCTCCATTCCCATCTCCTCCATCCCATGTCCTCTTCCTCCTCCAGTCCCATCTCCTCCATCCCATGTCCTCTTCCTCCAGTCCCATCTCCTCCATCTCATGCCATCTTCCTCCAGTCCCATCTCCTCCATGCCCTGTCCTCTTCCAGTCCCATCTCCTCCGTCCCCTGTCCTTTTCCAGTCCCATCTCCTCCGTCCCCTGTCCTTTTCCAGTCCCATCTCCTCCGTCCCCTGTCCTCTTCCAGTCCCATCTCCTCCGTCCCCTGTCCTCTTCCAGTCCCATCTCCTCCGTCCCCTGTCCTCTTCCAGTCCCATCTCCTCCGTCCCCTGTCCTCTTCCAGTCCCATCTCCTCCGTCCCTTGTCCTCTTCCAGTCCCATCTCCTCCGTCCCCCTTGTCCTCTTCCAGTCCCATCTCCTCCGTCCCCTGTCCTCTTCCAGTCCCATCTCCTCCATCCCATGTCCTCTTCCAGTCCCATCTCCCCATCCCATGTCCTCTTCCAGTCCCATCTCCCCATCCCCTGTCCTCTTCCAGTCCCATCTCCTCCATCCCCTGTCCTCTTCCAGTCCCATCTCCCCATCCCCTGTCCTCTTCCAGTCCCAACTCCTCTATCCCCTGTACTCTTCCAGTCCCATCTCCTCCATCCTATGTCCTCTTCCAGTCCCATGTCCTCCATCCCATGTCCACTTCCTGTCCCATCTCCCCCATCCCATGTCCTCCTCCAGTCCCATCTCCCCATCCCATGTCCTCCTCCAGTCCCATCTCCCCATCCTATGTCCTCCTCCAGTCCCATCTCCCCCATCCCATGTCCTCCTTTTCCAGTCTCATCTCTCCCATCCCATGTCCTCCTCCTCCATTTCATGTCCTCTTCCTCCTGAAAAAAAAAACCCAGCGGTGATCAAAAACCACCAAAAGAAAGTTCTATTTGTGTGAAAAAAAGTTCTCTCTAGACAGATATAAAAGACACAGTCAATGGAGATCTGTATTAATTCATACATAGTTACATTTAATTTTTTTAAATGTACTTGAATTTGAGGTCAGCCCACTGCAGTCCCTGTATAGCAGAGCTGGAGTGTGAGAAGAAGCAGCACAAGGAGCCAATCAGTTCACATACTGAGAAGAAGCATGTCAATAGGAGGAGACAGCAGAGTGATGGAAAGATAAGCTCATTGTGCTGATGTGTCCAATCACAGGCTGGGCATGATTCTACAATGACCTGGGCTCAGAGAAAGCAGGCTGAATGATGCTGACCACCAGTCTGAGGACATCTAGTGGCAGAAGAACAGTACTGCAGTACTGCGGGTGAAATCTCTGGATTGAAGCTGATCATTTGCAGCACAAGCTGGTTTTTGTTGGTTTATCTTTTTAATCGACCATGCACTTGTACCTTATTACATTTGGTTGGACTACTGCTTTAAATAAATGTTTACTTCATCATAGAGACCTGTATTAGAGATCAGTGTCTCTTGCATGGAAAGAAAAGTAATTCTGCCTGTGGAATGCAAATAGAGGATAGTCATTTCTGTAAATCCTGCAATAAAGAAAATATTCCAGATATCTGAAGAGCGTTCAGTATGTTGAACGAATGTCAATTACAGTAGGCATGAAAGAGGAAGTGTCTTCATCAGAGCCCCTTTATTTCACTGGAATCTCCCAGCTTTCCTCATCTCACTCGGTTGCACAATGTCATTTTACGGTAGATGAAATAATTAGTTCGGCTGCTTCTGTAATGAATGTCACTAAATGTTTGCCAGGCTTGCAAGTGATACATAGAATGCGAATTCTAATAAAATCATACCGGTCAGATGATATCATGCATGGAATGCTGCCTGATCTAGGTTTTAATGGTATTATAATAATCGACTGTTTTTATTGCTTGATGCTATTTTTATGTTTATATGACAACAATCCTATTATAAAAAGTTTTAGAGAATATTGGAATTTACAAAAGTTTCAACACTTCAAGGATCTTACAGTTTAATATCCCTGCTGTAAAAAGGAAATCAAGGCTGCAAAACTTGAAAATGAATGTCAGGCCACGAAGGAGCGTAGGACAAACCCCCCCAAATTCTTTAAATATATTAACAGTAAAAAGGTCAGGTCCTTTATTAGATACTTTTGAGCTTACTGAGGACATAGAGCAGTGTTTTTCAACTTTTTTGTGCAAAGGCACACTTTTTTTTCATGAAAAAAATCACGAGGCACACCACCATTAGAAAATTTTAAAAAAAACCTCTGTGCCTATAGATGACTATATATAAATTTCTCTTGAATAGGAATCAAACACAAAGAAATGATTTTATAATTAACTTTGCTTATGAAATAATAAAGTATTGTATAACTGGACCCGGGGGCCGGACCAAGAGTAGATGATGATGTGTGTATGTGTCATCCATAGTAAGTATAGTAATATTCCCCCATAGTAAGCTAGTAATTAATCCCCATATAGTAATTTCTCCCCATATAGTAATCATGCCCCATAGTAATTTCATCACCTCATTTAGTATTTCATCCCCCCATATAGTAGTATTTTCATCCCTCATATAGTATTTCAGTCCCCCCATATAGTATTTCATCCCTCATATAGTAATGCTGGTTTCATCCCTCATATAGTATTTCATCCCTCATATAGTATTTTCATCAGAGCCTCCATATAGTATTTCAGATCCCTCATATAGTATTTCATCCCCCATAATAGTATTTATCCCTCCATATAGTATTTCATCCCTCATAAGTATTTCATTTAGGAATTCCCATATAGTATTTCATCCTCATAGACATAATTTCATCCCCTCATATAGTTAATTCATCCACCCCCATATAGTATTCATCCCCTCATATAGTATTTCATCCCCCCATATAGTATTTCATCCCTCATATAGTAAAATAGTAATCATCCCCATGCGTATTTCATCCCCCCATATAGTATTTCATCCCCCCATATAGTATTTCATCCCTCATATAGTAATTCATCCCTGATATAGTAATTCATCCCCCATATAGTATTTCATCCCCCCATATAGTATTTCATCCCTCATAAAGTAATTCATCCCTCATATAGTATTTCATCCCCCACAGTACTATTCCCCCCCCCCCCTTCTAGTAAGCCAAGTCCCCCGTGTCAATTCACTTACCTTTTGCGTTCCTCTCGCTGTTTCCCGCGCCGTTTCGGGTCTTCAGGGCGGACTGTGAGAGGAGCCTAGCTCCCCTCCCCTCACGTTCGGCACGCTGCCCCGCCTACACACATCCTGACAGCCACATCCGCAAGCGGATTTAAAAGGTCCGCGCGGACTTTTGGGGGCTGCCAACCGAGAGGAGGCAGTGTTGCATTAGGGAGCGGCCGACCGAGAGGAGGGAGGGGAGCAGCGGTGCGGCACACAGAAGAGCCGCATTAGACTGGGTAAAGAGCCGCATGTGGCTCGCGAGCCGCGCTTGCCGACCACTGAATCATTAGATTCTAATGATTGGTCTATTTGTGAGCCGAAGCCACATGTACAGATGAAATTGGAATTTTTCCCACGGCACACCAGACAATATCTCACGGCACACTAGTGTGCCGCGGCACAGTGGTTGAGCTGACATAGAGAAAGGCAAATTTTTTTAAAGGTGAGGTATGACTAAGGCTCCATGTACACGAGAGACGTTTGGAAAAACACTTCTGAATGCTGGAAACTGACTGCTGGAAAACGTAGGTTATGGGTGTTTGCGTTTAGAAGCGTTTTTTTTTTAACCACCTCCCACCATATAGTAATATGACGGATGCAAGGTGGTTCTCTCGTTCTGGGAGGACGTCATATGACATCCTCCCATTCTCACTCAGGGAGCGCGTAGCGCGGGCGATCGGCGGTGCGCTGTGTCCCTCGGACACAGCGGATCACCGATCACGGAAACGCGGAAAACAGCCGAGGATGTCGGCTCGGTCATGTGATCAGCTGTGTCCAATCACAGCTGATCACATGTAAACAGGGGAAATGCTGGTTATTGGCATTTCTCTCCTCTCGAGCTGTCATGCTGACAGTTCAAGAGGAGAGGAGAGCCGGTAATCGGCTTTCCGCAGAGAGGACATCTACACTGATCATCAGGGCACTGATGATCAGTGTGCCCTGATGATCAGTGTAGCCCCAGCAGTCCCACCTGTCAGTGATCATCAGTGCCTTGTGTCAGTGCCTTGTGCTAGTGCCCATCAGTGCCACATCAATGCCACATATCAGTGCCTACCAGTGCACATCAGTGCCACATATCAGTGCCCATCTGAGCTGCCTTTAAGTGTCATCCATCAGTGCCAGTCAGTGCCACCTATCAATGCCAATCAGTGCCATCTATCAGTGCCACCTATCAGTGCTGCCTATCAGTGCCTCCTATCAGTGCCTGTCAGTGCCGCCTAAGAGTGCCGCCGAACAGTGCCAGTCAGTGCCGCCTAACAGTGCCAGTCAGTGCCATGTATCAGTGCCATGTATCAGTGCTGCCTTTCAGTGCCCATCAGTGATGCCTGTCAATGCCCATCAGTGCCACCTACCAGTGCTTCCTCATCAGTGTCCATCAGTGCAGCCTATCAGTGCCCATCACTGCAGCCTCATTAGCGCACATCAGTGCAGGAGAAAAATCACTTATTTACAATATTTTATAACAAAAACTAAGAAAAAATGTTTTTTTTTTTCAAATTTTTCAGTGGTTTTTGGTTTGTTTAAGAAAAATAAAAAAAACCCAGAGGTGATTAAATACCACCAAAATAAAGCTCTATCTGTCACAAAAAAAATTATAAAAATTTCATTATGGGTACAGTGTTGCATGACCCCGCGCAGTTGTCACTCAAAGTGCGACAGCGCTGAAAGCTGGAAATTGGCCTGGGCAGGAAGGGGGTAGGTGAGGGGTTAAAGAAAACATCAGGAGACCTTCCAAATGCACTGAATGCACTGAAAAACAGTAACAAATGAACTATTTCAGACATTTTGAGAGAAATAGAGAGTTCAGATGACCTGTCTTTTCTGGTTGTATTCACTATGGATCCCATCATGAGCATAATGCGGCACGTTCTACCATTTTTTCCTTAATGCGAAACCTGGAACTGACTGCACTGGTGTACCGGGTCCATTTGAACACATGGAAAACGTTTTGCATGCATTTCTGATGATGAAAAAAGGCTCTGGACAGCATTTGGATATGGAACAGTTAAAAAACGCTTCTAAACGTAAACACTTTTAAACACGGTTAGCCACGTTTACATGCATTTACAAGCGTTTGGCATTTGAAACGCTGATAAAATCTACTCCTGAACATAGGAAAACATTAGGGAGAGTTCAGGGGCTGCTGAAAAACGCAGAAAAGCTCCTGAATGTCAGTTTATCAGCTGCAGTGTACATGAGCCCTAAAGTTCCAGTATTTTGGCTGTACCTCCCCTATGGATCACAGGAGTTCAGTTCATTGTGCACTCCTGTGAGCCATATTCAGACAACAGCAGGCTAAAGTCTGATGTTTGCTGACATCACAGAGCTGGTCCAGGCTTTAAAGTTAGGATCTACCCAGACGCCTGGACTGGAAGCTGGCAGCCAGAAGCTTTCTCTGCCGTCTCTTTTCTAAGTCTCAATGCTGCAGTCGCTGCTGCCTGCCCCCCCCCCCCCAAAAAAAAGGTGAACTTACCATTTAATGTTGCTAAATGTCAAGTTATGCACTTGGGGACGAATAAAAATAAAAAAAAACATGTTTGCATTCTACAGCCAGGGGGAACAATGGTGGAGAAGGATCTGGGTGATCTGGTAGATCATAGACTTAATAACAGCATGCAGATTTCCAAAGTGAACAAATTCATTTTTTTTTATAAAAAGAGGTATAGACTCCAGAGAGAGATATCATTTCCCCCGGTACAAATCATTAGTAAGACCTCATCTGCATTATGCAGTTCAGTTTTGGGCACCAATCACAAAAAGAACAGTGGAATAACGATCTTACAGAATGTCTTCAATTTACAAGCCGACCTCAATGCACTGTGTAATTGGGCAACTATGTGGCAAATGAGGTTTAATGTTGATAAATGTAAGGTTATGCACTTGGGGGCTAAGAATATGCATGCATCATACATACTAGGGGGGGGTACAACTGGGGGAATATCAATGGTGGAGAAGGATCTGGGGGTTCTGGTAGATCACAAGCGTAATAATGGCATGCAATTTCAAGCTGCGGTTTCTAAAGCAAGTAAAATCCTCTCTTGTATTAAAAGAGGTATAGACTCCAGATAGAGAGAGATATCATTTCCCCCGGTACAAATCATTAGTAAGACCTCATCTGGAATATGCAGTTCAGTTTTGGGCACCAATTCACAAAAAGAACATTGGGGAACTGGAGAAAATACAGAGAAGGGCAACTAAACTGATACGAGGCATGGAGGAGCTCAGCTATGAGGAAAGATTAGAGGAACTGAATTTATTCTCTCTTGAGAAGAGGAGATTAAGGGGGATATGATCTCCATGTATAATACATAAGAGGGATATGATCTCCATGTATAATACATAAGGGGGATATGATCACCATGTATAATACATAAGGGGGGATATAATCTCCATGTATAATACATAAGGGGGGATATGATCTCCATGTATAATACATAAGGGGGGATATGATCTCCATGTATAATACATAAGGGGGGATATGATCACCATGTATAATACATAAGGGAGGGATATGATCACCATGTAGATATAAGGGGGAAATGATCTCCATGTATAATACATAAGGGGGGATATGATCACCATGTATAATACATAAGGGGGGATATGATCACCATGTATAATACATAAGGGGGATATGATCTCCATGTATATACATAAGGGGGGATATGATCTCCATGTATAATACATAAGGGGGGATATGATCTCCATGTATAATACATAAGGGGGATATGATCTCCATGTATAATACATAAGGGGGGATATGATCTCCATGTATAATACATAAGGGGGGATATGATCTCCATGTATAATACATAAGGGGGGATATGATCTCCATGTATAATACATAAGGGGGGGATATGATCTCCATGTATAATACATAAGGGGGGATATGATCACCATGTATAATACATAAGGGGGGGATATGATCGCCATGTATAATACATAAGGGGGGATATGATCTCCATGTATAATACATAAGGGGGGATATGATCTCCATGTATAATACATAAGGGGGATATGATCTCCATGTATAATACATAAGGGGGGATATGATCACCATGTATAATACATAAGGGGGGATATGATCTCCATGTATAATACATAAGGGGGGATATGATCTCCATGTATAATACATAAGGGGGGATATGATCACCATGTATAATACATAAGGGGGGATATGATCACCATGTATAATACATAAGGGGGGATATGATCACCATGTATAAATACATCAGTGGTTCATGTAGTGAACTCGGTGTAGAGTTATTCACCCTGAGGTCATCACAGAGGACAAGGGGGCACTCTTTACATCTGGAGGAAAAGAAATTTAATCTCCAAACATGGAAAGGTTTCTTCACAGTAAGAGCTGCGAAAATGTGGAATAGTCTCCCTCAAGAGTTGGCTCTGGCCAGCTCAGTGGATTGTTTCAAAAAAGGCCTGGATTGTTTCTTAGATACAAAGAATATAACTGGATACTAACATCTATAGGTGAAGTTGATCCAGGGAATATCCGATTGCCTCTCGGGGGATCGGGAAGGAATTTTTTTTCCCAGCAGGAGCAAATTGGATCGTGCTTTGCTGGGGTTTTTTTTGCCTTCCTCTGGATCAACTGTGGGTATAGGATTATAACTTTTTTTTATTTTCTATGGTTGAACTGGATGGACTTTTGTCTTTTTTTCAGCCAGATTAACTATGTAACTCTGTAACATAATATAACTAGTTACTATTAATTATTGATAAAGTTGATCCAAGGAATATCCGATTGCCTCTCAGGGAATCAGGAAGGAATTTTTTTTTTCCCCTGCAGGAGCAAATGGGATCATGCTTTGCTTGCTTTTTTTTTACCTTCCTCTGGAACAACTGTGGGTGTAGGATTATAACTTTTTTTCTTTTGTTGAACTGGATGGACCTTTGTCTTTTTTCAGCCAGATATAACCAGGAGTGTGTGTAAAACCCCCCAAAACCAATGAGGTATGGCATAGGTTAGTGGAAGTAAAAGGGTTTAAAAGGATGCCGGGCTGAATGGTTTGGGGGTCCAGTAAAACCAATTCACCAGGGAGGGGCAAACATCTACTTGCAACCCACAGAACATAAGCACCCTCCTCCTTGCCATACCTCCTCCTGGAAACCAGGGGTAGAGAAGAACCCAGTACCCATCCGCATCAATGCACACGCTTGGAAAAATTGTCAATGTAAATTGATAGAAAACTGGCTAAAAAGATCGTATTCAGAGAGTAGTGGTTAATGATTCATACTCTGAATGGTCTAGCGTTGTCAGTGGTGTACCCCAAAGTTCTTGCCATACCTTTTCCTGGAAACCAGGGGTAGGGAAGAACACAGTGACCATCAGCATCAATGCACTGGAGCTTTGAGAGGGGGATCACTGTTTTTTCAAAGGGAACACCTCTAAACAAAACCCCCAATGCTGAGGGGCATGTATTGTAGGCTGGTATCAGCATAACAGGAGGGTTACACCCTCCCTTGCTGTGGTGATACCAGCAGCTGGTTCATTCCTGGAGGGGGGCACATACAGTGCATCCGTACAGTATTCACAGCACTCAACTTTTGCCATATTTTGTTATGTTACAGCCTTATTCCATAAATGGATTAAATTCATTTTTTTCCTCAACATTCTACAAACAATACCCCATAATGACAACGATAAAAAAAGTTTGTTTTGAAATCTTTGCAATTTATTAAAAATAAAAAAAAAAAAAAAAACACATGCACACAAGTATTCACAGCCTTTGCCATGACACTCAAAATTGAGCTCTGGTTCATCCTGTTCCCACTGACCATCCTTTAGATGTTTCCACAACTTGATTGGAGTCCACCTGTTGGAAATTCAGTTGATTGGACATGATTAAGAAAGGCAGAAACCTGTCTATATAAGGTCCCACAGTTAACAGTGCATGTCAGAGCACAAACCAAGCCATGAAGTCCAAGGAATTGTCCGTAGACCGCCGAGACAGGATTGTATCAAGGCACAGATCTGGGGAAGGGTACAGAAAAATGTCTGCAGCATTGAAGGTCCCAATGAGCACAATGGCCTCCATCATCCATAAATGGAAAAAGTTTGGAACCACCAGAAACCTTCC